AGGGGGTCTGGTACCTCAGCACCTGGAGCGAGGAAGAGAGGCGGGGGGGGGAGCGGGGCAGTGCGGTAGGGGAAGAGGCGGTAGTAGGGGACGGACTCGTCAAAAGTGACGTCCTGAGAGGCAAGGACACGACGCGAGGTGGCGTGGTAGAACTGCCAACCAGGCGCGTCCGGGACAAAGCCAAGGAAGACACAGGGGACAGCGCGACGGGAGAGCTTGTCTGCGGACGTGTCGCGAACAAAAGCTCGAGATCCCCAGACCCGAAAACGCGACGCATCGCCAGCCTCTCCCGTCCAACGCAGTGTCGGAGAAGTCTCCGGTAAGGAGACACGGGGCCAGAGGTTGAGCTGATGCGCAGCGTATCGGATTGCAAACGGCCACAGAAAGTGGGGGGCAGCCGCATGAACCAAGGAGGTACGAGCGACCTCCATAACCAAGCCAATGCGGCGCTCAGCAACCCCATTCTGCTGTGGAGAGGCCGGAAGTGTGAACGACTGCTCAATGCCCTCCTGCTGACAGAAGGCCTCCAAGAGGCCAGAGGAAAACTCCCCACCTCTGTCAGAGTGCAGACGCAGGACAGGGAAGTCGGAGCGGAAACGCTCACTGAGCTGGAGACGAGATCTGCGGATCCAAGGGATCAAGACCTCAGGGACGTCACCCTTGGCGCGCAAGGGGAAGACCGTGGTGTAGCGCGAGAAGTCATCAACAACAATCAGGAAGTACCTCTCCTGACCCTGACCACGGACGCGGGCTGGGCCCCACACGTCCATGTGGAGCGTCTGCAAAGGAGCAGTCGTCGGGGGAAAGGAGGAGGAGTGAGGAGCGGCGCGCTGCCGCCCCTCGACACAGGGAAGACAGGGAGGAGCAGGCGAGGGTGGGAGGGGAGGGAGAACCCTGGGAAGACCAGCAACAAGGTCCCGTTTGTGCATGGCCCGAAGGCGCTGCACAGACGGGTGACCAAGGCGGTGGTGCCAGAGGACAGTCTCATGCGCCAGAGAGCGACACGAGCAGGGGGCGGACAGCTGACCTGACGCAGACGCAGACGCGGACGCAGCGACCTGAGGGGACTCAGTGGTCAGTGTGTACAGGTCCGACCCCGGCTGCCGAGTGAAGGTAGCCAGGTGACGGCCCGTCCGAGCACACGTGCAGTGCGTCACGCGCTCGTAAGCAGGGGTGAACTGGTGGACACCCCCGTCCTGGAGCGCACTACCCGCCACCAAGTTTGTAGAGAACGAGGGGAGGTAGAGACCTGACAGTGTGCCTGACGGGACCGCAGGACAAGGAAGGACAGTGGAGGAGGTCGCAACGACCGGACCCCCAGAGGGGTCAGCGAGGGAGACAGCAACTGGCCGAGCGAGTGGCTCAAGGACAGTGCGGTCACGAAAGAAACAGCGAGAAGCACCTGAGTCCAGTGTGAAGGTGTGCAGTGCTGCAGTCGACTCAGTACCAGCGGGCACGGACGCACTAGCACCTAGAGCAGCAGCCTCACCATCACCTGAGGTGGCAGACACGCGAGCACCTGCAGTGGCGGTCTCACTAGCACCTAGAGCGGCAGCCTCACTCACACTACACGGCAGCTGCACCGGTCCGCGCCCAGAAGCTCCCGAACGACGCACTCCAGAGTGACTACCACGACCACCACCCCGAGAGCCCAAACTCGCGTACCACTCACGAGCCCGCTGGAGCGTAAGAGGACACTGCTGCTGCACCTGTCCACTACCAGATGCTCCCGAACAACGCACGCCAGAGCGACTACCACTACGGCCACCCCGACAGCCCAAACTGGCGTACCACTCTCGGGCCCGCTGGAGCGTAAGAGGACACTGCTGCTGCACCTGTCCACTACCAGATGCTCCCGAACAACGCACTCCAGAGCGACGACCACGACGGCCACCCCGACAGCCCCAACTAGCGTACCACGCACGCGCACGAAGCAGCTGGGGCGAAGGAGGGCACGGCAGCTGCACCTGTCCACTACCAGAAGCTCCCGACCGACCCACTCCAGAGCGACCACCACTACGGCCACCCCGACAGCCCCAACTAGCGTACCACTCACGCGCACGAAGCTGCTGGGGCGTGAGGGACTCACGCGCACGGCCCTGGAGCTGCATCTGGCCACGCCAGGAGCAGCAGTAGTAGCAGTAGCGGCAGCAACAGTAGTAACAGCAGGAGCTGTGGCAGTGGGAGTAGAAAAGGCAGTAGCAGCAGTAGCAGCGGTAGCAGTGCTGGGCAATGCTCACCAGTGGTCGGCGCGGCAGGCGCAAGACGGTGGCGACAGCGGGGCCGCTACAACTGCAGGGCTGGGCCGGGCCGCAGCAGGGAGCTCCGCGGCAGCTGCTGCAGGGCGAGGCCGGGCCGCGACGGCAGCTGCTCCAGGTGCCAGGGGCGGCTGCTGCAGTGGCGGCGGCTCCAGGGGCCAGGGGCGGCTGCTGCAGCGGTGGTTGCTCCAGGGGCCAGGGGCGGCTGCTGCAGGTGCGGGCTGCTCCAGGGGCAGCTGCTGTAGGTACATGCTGCTCCAGAGGGGGCTGCTGCAGTGGCGGGCGGCTCCAGGGGCTGCTACTGCAGTGGCGGGCGGCTCCAGGGGCTGCTGCTGCAGTGGCGGCTGCTCCAGGGGCTGCTGCTGCAGTGGCGGCTGCTCCAGGGGCGAGAGGCGGATTAGGTCAGGGCGACGCGGCGAGAAGGGCGACGCGGCGAGAAGGGCGACGCGGCGGGCAGGTGGCGACGCCGCGGGCAGGGCGACGCGGCGGGTAGGTGGCGACGCCGCGGGCAGGTCGACGCGGCGGGCAGGTGGCGACGCCGCGGGCAGGTCGACGCGGCGGGCAGGTGGCGACGCCGCGGGCAGGGCGACGCGGCGGGCAGGTGGCGACGCCGCGGGCAGGTCGACGCCGCGGGCAGGGGACGACGCCGCGGGCAGGCGACGACGCCGCGGGCAGGCGACGACGCCGCGGGCAGGCGACGACGCCGCGAGCAGGCGACGACGCCGCGGGCAGGCGACGACGTCGCGGGCAGGCGACGACGCCGCGGGCAGGCGACGACGCCGCGGGCTGGCGACGACGCCGCGGAAAGCGGGCCGCGCGCGGGTGGCTAGCAGGCCGTGCGTGCGCGGTAGGGAGAGGCGCACGAGGGCGCAAGAGCGCACGAGGGCGCGCGGTAGGGAGAGGCGCACGAGGGCGCGAGGGCGCACGAGGGCGCGCGGTAGTAAGAGGCGCACGAGGGCGCGAGGGCGCACGAGGGCGCGCGGTAGTAAGAGGCGCACGAGGGCGCGAGGGCGCACGAGGGCGCACGGTAGTAAGAGGCGCACGAGGGCACGAGGGCGCTCCGGTAGGTAGGTAGGTAGGTAGGTAGCGGTGGGCCCTAAAACGGTCCTAGTGAAGGACCTGCTCTGATACCATGTCAGAATGAACGGACAGGAATGATTGAACTAACAGTGAAATCAGTACAAGTACCTAACCCTAGAATTGTGTACCCCCTATAGGCTAACCCACTGTAGCCTAAACAAACACAACATATATAATGTTTGACACAGTGCATGAATGTGCAAGGATGTGCACACTCCTTTGTTACTACCCAATCTAACAGATATATATTAAGCGCGAGAATTTCTAAAGAAAAAAAAAATGATATTCTTGTGCCATCACGTCACTCTTACAGGCTTTGCATGGCTCTGAGAGCAGTGAGAAAGGTGAGGGACGAGAGATCCCCTTCCACACTCAGCATGTAATCCAACAGACTGGTATGTTGCCATGGATAGATGCACAAGACAAAGTAAAAAAGGTTGATCATGGCTGTTCCACACAAGGGATCAAACGGTGCTGTGGGTGAACACTGCCAATGCGTTCAACTCGGCTGTGTTGTAATGTTTCTTTATAACATACATAGACTAAAATATGAGGTGTAGTCACTAGCTACAGGGATTGTTGGGTTGGGTGTACCCTCCACCCACAACTTGTGGTTGGATCTTTGGTTGGTTGGTTCCTATGTGTACTTGAGTTCACGTGGGACCCGTCCCTGCTTGGCTAGACTTACATCATTGCCTGTTTAAATGGGTAACAGAGAGTGAGTCCTAGTTGCAGCAGAGAATGTAACACATGATTGAGAGGATGTGAGTCATAAAGAGAAGACGCAGGGCATAGAGAAGGATGCAGGGCATACAGAGAGCGCAGGTTGGTAAGACTTGAGAGCCACGAAAGGTCCTCCAAACGCCCAGTTATGTTCTTCGCTCCGATCTTTCTGGGAGCAGGAGATGAGGTCCATGGATGGAGGGAGTGTATGGGAGCGTGGAGGTTCGGGGTTCCTCAATATCCAGAAAAGGAAGCATGTATGGGAGGAGAGGGGTATGGACGGGGGGAGATTGGGGGGTGAGGTGAGGTAGATGGGAGAGAGAGAGGAAGGGGAGACATGGAATAGGTGAAAGGAACACAGGAAAGAAGGCAGAACGAAATTGTTGGGCAAGCAGGGCAAGGAAGAAGCAAGAGGACTGGTTTTGAGTCGACTCAAGGGCAAGGAAGAAGCAAGAGCACTAGACGAAAATAGAGGTGTCCTCGAGGCAGACAGCTGACTGCCTGGCAGACATAAAATGGCGCGAGGCAACGAGGAATAAGTAATTCAGAAAACTGACATGTTTGTGAGGTGGGAGAGGCGGGTGAGAATGCTGGGCAGGCTCCCAGAGAGAGAAGTATCAGAAATGTCTCTCAAGGAGTGGGTGGGGAGAGATGTTGGGGATGGAAGAGGAGCAGGAAAGGAGTGGAGGTGGATGGAAGAAGAAGACGTGAAGACAAACAGACAAAGACTCCACCATCCTGTAAGTGTTTTTGGCCCGATCGAAGTGCTGGTACGACCAGCACACGGGCCTGGGATGCTTTGCAGGAGAAACAAAAGGAAAAAACTACAATCCGAGCCTCAGGAATGTTTGGTGCGAATCAAGGTGGCTGGCAGGTGTGAAGACAAAGGTGGGTCTCGGGTTTTGGAATTCAAATGTACCCTGCTGAGGTCGATTGCACTTACAGGTGTGCAAGAGCAGAGAGTGAGAGGATGGAGGATGGCAGAGAACCAGATACTCTAGTGTTATACAGGTCACTGCACGCGGACATGGGGAAAATGGAACATGGATGGGTGGGGGTGAAAAGGAGAGGGAGCTCAGTATGTGCGACCATGCTATGCTGCACAAACATGCATTTATGTAGCACCCACCTGCACTGACAAAGGCAGCAGTGATTGTTGTATCATCGCCCTCTGCGAACGGCAGTCACAGTGCGTCAACTTGCTGCTACGAAAGCTCAGAGACAGACCCTGAGCGAGGCAGCTCCATTGTCAGTGTGCATGTGGAATATCATGACACTCATGCCGTGCACCTATGTCAACCATGCAACGTGGTGTGGTGGCAGTCAGACTGCCAGCTAGCCAGCCAGCCACCATGCCACCATCCCACCATGCCATCATCTCAGCATGCCACCAAGCCACCATGCTAACATGCCATGTTACCACGCCACCCGCAACCATGCATCTAAGTCGTTTAACACAAGTTATAATACATGCATTCCATAGTATAAATTGCATTGCAGAAAACACTGCATCTAATCGTTGGTGGTGAAACACAGTGTGCAACCCTTACTACAACAACTTGGATCATGCCCCACTCAAGACATGACCATTCTCGTTGCCAACTACACAGCAATCCATCTTTCCTCTGCCTAGCTGTGGCCTTATCAGGGCATGGAGATGCGCACACGTGGGGGAGCCAGAGAGGTGGTGCAGAAGCGAGGGGCGGGCAGTGGCAGCACTCACAGCACGCGCAGGGAGGGGGGCAGAGGGAGGTCAGTGATGGACCCTTGGAGATAGTAGTTGTATGCTAGAACACTGACGGGGGAAAAGAGGGGGCATCAGGGTTAAAATAGGGAAAGTGGAGATGGGTGTGAAAGTTGGTAGAGGGGGGAATGAGGGGGTTGCGCTGGAGAGTGCGGGGTGGGGAGTTGGGGGGCGGAGGAGAGAAGGGTAAGGGGATGCGTGCGAGAGAGGGAAGGGTTGTGCTGCGATTGGTGGCAGAGTAAGAATGGGAAGAACCAATCAGAACACATGCTACTGAGGAGAAAGGAACACGAGAGTTGGCAGAAAGACAATGGGCACATAGAGAAAACACAAGGACGGAAGAGCGAGATAGGGGGTGAACAAGGGATTGGGTGAGCACAGGGGTAGTATTGACAAAGCAATCTGACATTTCAAAAAAACAAAGAAGAAAATGAGCGAGATCAGGGGTAAATCAAGAGCGTTGGTGGATGGGATGAGAGAAACAGAAAGAAAAGGTGGGGCCCGCAGTGGCATGGAGGCAATGGGCTCACAGGCGTCTGAGAGAAGGCATGGCAGAGAAGACATTGAGAGGCATGGTTCCGTTGATCCCGAGGTCAGTCAGAACGCTGCACAGAACGAGGTGTTGCATTCAAGAAGCAACATAGACGCACGTGGAGGGGTTTCACACACACACACACACACACACACGCACACACACACACACACACACACACACACACACACACACACACACACACAGCAATAGATGCAGCACTGCACTCCAGCGCAACTATGCTGTTCGTGATACACTGAGAGAAGCCAGGACTTATTCATCAAGCTTCTGCTTATGCTTCTGGAGCAACAACTCCCACGAGGCAATCTCGCAGCCCCAAGTGCTTACAGGAACCCACACATGCTCCCCCCTACAGGGCTCGCTTGCTGTCCCCGCAGGACTCTACACCAGTGCAGAGCAGAGCAGAGGAAGTCGCCTTTGCTGCTTTGGACTGAACGTACACAGCAGTGATGAAGCCCTGCTGGTTGCACTGGATGTGCTCCCACTGGTCGCAGCGCCGTGAGCGGTTGGAGTTGGACGGCCACAGCTGCCACGCGGCGTTCAGCGCCTCCAACGCACGCACTGCCCGTCCGCCCCGTGTGGTCCCGTCCCATCCCCCCATTCACGGCCCGGCGCAACAGAACACACGGCACGACCAGCACACACAGCACAAACCAGCACACAGAGAGCAAGGAATGTATGGATTAGCCAGTTTGATCGGGTGATGGGATGAGGAGGCGGTGAGAAGAAGGCTTGAGTAGTGCCGTTCAGGACAGCGCATTGCGTTCGCATGGCACGTCGGGTTTGGGACAGCATATTGTGGCTGGGGAAGCATATCGTGTCTGCGGCAGCATGTGTCCAGGACAGCATATTGTGTCCGGGACAGCGCACTCAGAGCGGTGACTGGATAATAGGCACGTCGCATGCCAGTCTCAACGGAGAAACGTTAGAGACGGGAGGCCTTGGGAAGACGGTTCATCGACCAAAAGGGGCAGAGGAAGTTGAACAGAGAGGCTAGGGGGGGAACAGTGAGCTGGAGATTGGAGAAAGGATATGTTTGAGCCACTACGAAACCAAAATATACAATGTTTATTAACCAAAAGAATCAAGCCATGTGGGGCTTAGGTGGCCCTCTCACTCCAAAACTGGCTCTATTGCCTCCCTAATCAATGTACGCTCGGAAATGGACCAACCAGGATTCGAACCCCTACCCTAATTCCAATGAAACACCTCACTACCCCTGGGCTCCGATAACCCCCAATTGCAAGGCCCCTGTCGTCATCTGTGGCTCCTGGTTGAGAGCGGTTCGGTCCTCCCAACAACCCTCCGATACCCTAAACCGAATACAACCGCTCTCGCTCAGTTCAGAAGAGTCAGAAACCCCGAAATCTTTCGTGGCAGTGTTGAAATTAGAGGGAACTTTTTTGTTCCCCCCAATTTCAACCCCAGGGCAAAACGACAAGGACGCGGCTCGGTGCCCACTTTTTGAAATTACCAGAGCCCAGGTGTACCACTAGATCAAAACAAGGGTGTAATTACACAGAGAAGGCAATTGATTCTTAAACTAGGTTGGACTAAAATGGGTTTTTGACGTTTCGCCTACCTTCGCCCATGTCGCCACGGGCAAAAATGGGAGTGTAAGGGGTACGTTCCTGGCTCGTGTCAAACTTCCGGTCAAACTTCGGGTTTTCCGGGCCAGGGGCAAATTTTTGCGGGAAGACCCGAAGTGGGGCCAGCTGTGGGGCGAGCTTTGTGTGAATGCGTTTGTAGCTCACAGGCAAACCTACGCTTGATTTCATGACGTAAGCTACGGGCAACCTTTGTTGTTTTCTACTGGTTCCCACAGGTGATTGTACCTAACTTTAGTCACTCACGGGCAAAAACATTTGCATTTTTTCCGGGATGGTGAGTATTCAACAAGTGGCAGAAGGGCAGCTGCTGCAAATGCAGTATTGGGGCAAATGGGGCACTGAGGAAATCGGGGAAACCGAGATGCCTTGAGACGGCAAAGAACGGAGCTGAGGCAAACCCTATTGGTAAAAGGATGTAATTCTCCAGCATGGGAGCGGCCTCAGCCTTACGCTGGCTATCAGCGAGAGTCGGCCCGTCGAGCAAGCGGCGTGCGGAGGCCGCGCCGGCGGGGGTGTCGAGGACGCCCGTGCCGCGGGAATGCTGCTGCTCATCGGCGTGGCTCCACTCGGCCACTGCCGCCGCCGGCGCCATCATGTCGCCTTCTTCGCCAGGAATCGCCGCGGCGACGTGAGGAGACGCAGCGGAAATGACAGAATGCTGTGTGAAGAGGACGAGGAGCAGTGGTAGGAGAGTGAGAAGGAAACCGGACGGCGGCCAGTAACGACAGTCTGCCGCGCGTTTGTGGAAGAAACTGCGAGACGGCGCCATGATCATAGTTCGTAGAAGAAAAACTTCCAACGTGGGCTCTAAAGTGTAGGCCGTGCTGAGGTGGAATTTCATCTAAGCTGTCAGTGGAAAGCCGAGAACTGTGATATGTTGAAAGTAAGATCGCCTTCCTGGGCTGTCCCAACTTCGAAGTGGGACAGCGAAAAGTGCACTTCGCACGTGCAAGAGAGTAGTCATTGTGATGAGGTGGAAGGGAACGAATCTGGACGTCGCGTGAGCTCACAGACCCTGACGTGCGAAGACCCCCCACGACGAAACCCATTGACGTGTGGCGAGAATCTGTCGAGGGTTTGGGGTTGCGAACGCTGACTGTAAATTGACTCGTGCATGCAAATCTGATTGGTCGTTAGGTTTCGCATTCTCCTAACGATCGTACACATCAGAATAGACTGGAACGGGGGGGATACATCGAAGCTGGCAGGGTGGACAAAAAATCTGACCACCAGGCTGTCCATGTCCACCAGACTTCGCAGACTTAGTTAGACTTCAGTTTCACAATGTGCCTTCCATCAAGTTCACGCTTGCAAATTCCTCCTAGACGGTCGCTTCTCTCACGTGCATGACATTGCATTCCAACAATTTCAGGGCCAACATCATAGACATGCAACTTAGTCTGGTAACCCTATGCAATGGTATGCAAAACCGTCTTACCTCAGTTTTGGAGTTATCTACAAGCTGTCTTAATAACGCGTTCGTTTTTAATTTTTAGCTTATGACTACCGCGTTTGACTTTGCACTAAAACGTGATTTTTTCGGGCCAAGAAAATAATAAAACCCAATCGGAAAGGATGCGTCAGGGAGGCATCAACCCTAAAACTATGTCCTTTCCCGTGTTTAGGGTTGATCCCTCCCAGAAATGCGTCCAGGTCGCTAGGGGTTTTATTGTTTTTCAGCCCTGCCCTAACAAATGCAGGTAGCAATTTATTGGGTGCAATATATTCTTTCAAAATGGACCCCGTGTAGTTTCATTCCAATGGATTTTTCGTAAAATGTATCGTGCGCGTTTAGCGGAAAATAGTAGCCCGGAGGAAAATTTGTTAGGCGCCGAACGGGGCGCGGTAAGAACCACGAAGATACGAAATCGTCAACCCAACCGATATTTTCCTTTATTGTCCTGCGTCTGCTGTTACACAGTGTTTTGAGTGGCGGAACCAGACAAACTTGCGCAGCAGAACTGGGGTATCGACGGTTTTGCATACAATCGAATAGGGTTACCATACTATATTGCATGTCTATGATGTTGGCCCAACAATTTCACACACAACACGGCACAGCTGCATTTTGATAAAGCTCTGTGATTGGCTAGCGAAGTTCTGCTTGACCTTCGCCTTCGATTGTTGTCAGGTCAGAGAAGCATGCGCAGCGCAAGAAATGTGCTTCATCCAATCTTATTGGTCACTTCCGCACATGCGACGCCAACGCGGCGCTGCCTTGCAGTGTCAGCACCCGCAAGATTTCAGCAAGATTCGATAGTGAACATTGGTTCCGTTGCATCTGTACACTCAATTGAAATTCAGGGTGCCTAAAATCAATAGCACAGTTCGGCCTGGTCCATCCTCTCAAAAGTCAGAACCAGCCTCTGATTTTCCAGCCTTATTTCTTTGAGTATGCTGACACATGTTGGAAACAGTAAATCTTAAGCGCTTCTGTCGTGTCGAAACATCGCACATGAAGCGAGGCGAATCATACCGAAGCACCTGCGAGTCAACCCTCGGAGGTTGAGAGGTTGCTGGAGGTTACGCGAAAGTCAAAGGTCAAGCGACCTTTGACCTGACAAATACAGCGCGACAGTTAAGGACACACAACTGACTCGTTACAGAGCAGTTGCCCGAGTCGTACTGTATCGAACCGCAACAGCAACAGTAAAGTAGTTACAAACTGCATCCTTTCATATTCCTTGTATTATTATATAATCTTGTACTTCCTTGCTATAATCAATTCACTTTGCCCTCACATACCAGCGCAAGGTGGTTCACAAATTCTCAATTAAACGCTTCCGCTATTACAACACTATCCTACCCAGAGTTCTCCCTTGAAAGATCCTAAGGGGCTATCTCAGCCCAACAATACCTTACCCAACGACACGCACGTACCTATGCTGCTCGATCAGCTTGCCCAAAACCTAATCTGAGACCATACTCAAAACCACCAAAGGTGCCGCCACATCACCCCATGGATATACACCAAGATCAAGTGTTGTGTGACCCCTTCCGGCTGGTTCAAAACAGGGTCTTCGCTAGGATCCGAGGGATGTCTGATGCAACAGACGAGTCCCCCGGGCAAAAAAAAACGTTTGTCTGATTCTGACTGCCCCATCAGATTACTCCAAAAAAATCCGTCTGGAAACCAAGACAAACAGACAAAAATGTCTGATGTCGAGGACCCTGGTTCAAAACGTCACTTCACCTACTTCACAGCCAGCTTCCCAGCTTGTGCGTAGCGATAAAAACGCCAGACCATGTAGTATACTAAACCCCGATCACTCCCCACACCATCCAAGATGCCTAGCAGGAGATATCCCTTCACTCGTCATCCCACATGCCCAGCAACCCCCTGGCGTCCTCTCTCGGCAGCAACAGGGAGAACAAGAAGCGCAGCACCTTGAAGAGCCGTGCCTGTGCCTCCCCCACTAGCAGACGGGGCAGATGCGCACTGGTAGGGGAGACAGGAGGGAGATGGGCAGTGGTCAAGTGGAAGGGCAGGGGCAGATGAGAAGTGCTAAGAAATGCAGGTCATGGAGGATGGAATGGTGAACCGACATATAGATGGGGAACAGGGACATGAGCGGGCATTGGCACAAGCGTTTCAAGGTGAGAAAACAAACACGGAAGTGGGTGGGATGGGAGGTGGGATGGGATTCCCACTTGTAGAGGTCGCCAATGAACGGCAGGTGAGAGATGACTGGGTTGCGCTGGAAGAAGTCTCTCTGAAACTTCACTCGCTTCAGCGGCCTCACTGCTGCTAGTGGTGCTGCTGCTGTCCATGCTGCCCCATGCCCCTCCTCCCCAGCAACCTGACTGCTCCCCCCAGCTTCCGTTGCAGAGGCAGAGCCAGCGGCGGCAGGTGTGGGAGGAACGGCAGATGGTGTAGCAGCAGCAGGTTCTGATGTTCCTCCTGCCTTGTGAGGAGGTAAGGGAGGTGTGAGGCCGTGCAGGGGATAGTCCTCCTGTGGGAGAAGGGGAAGGGAGGAGGTTGGTTGGGAAGGAACACAGAGGAAGGGAAAGATTGGGGAGGTAGAGGTAGAGAAGGAATGGCTGGGGATGGGTGTGGGGGGCTGGTACACAGAAGAATAGGGGTGTGTATGGTATATGGACCATTGGGCAGGAGGACATGGAAGTAGGGATGAGGGACACGACGAGCGGGCGCGCACTAGGCAAATAAGGATCGCACAAGGGTGAATGGGAGTGCCAACAAGAGTTGCAGCAGGCGAGAAGATCGACCTCAGTCACATCATTCTCGCAGCAGAACTTCACAGGGAGAGGGGCCCACAGGGAGAGGGGCCCACAGGGAGAGGGACCCACAGGGAGGGACCCACAGGGGGCGGAGCTGAGGGTGGGCGTTACCAGAGGGATGTCTTCAAGCTCGAGCAGCACACAGAGGTCGAAGTGGGCGAGGAAGCCGAGCTTGAAGGGAGGGCCAGCAATAGTTGCAGCAGGAGCGCTTATCAGTTACATCATTCTTGCAGAAACAATCTCCCAGGGAGAGGGGCTCGCAGGGAGAGGGGATGCGGGCGTTACCAGTGGAATATCCTCGAGTTGGAGCAGCACACAGAGGTCGAAGTGGGCAGGGAAGCCGAGCTTGAAGAGCGGGCGTGTGAAGACTGTGACGTAGAGCGCTAGTGCGTCCTCCTGAGGGTCGTACAGCACGCGGTGCACTCGCACGCCCTGGTACTGCAAAACCACGTGTGCCATCTGGGGGAGAGAGGGGCGTGATGGGAGGGCAATGAGGAGGGCAGAGGGGAGGGTGGAGAGGAGAAGGAAGCAGGGGTATACAGCACGCAGTGCACCCGCACGCACGCCCTGGTACTGCAGCACCACGTGCGCCATCTTGGAGAAGGGCGGGGAAGAGGAGGGAGAGGAGGGTGGAGGGGAGGTTGGGCCACACCGATGCCCCATGACGACCCAACCACGGATCCAATCTCTCAGTTGCAAAATTCACTCTTCAGGATCCGAGGTTGGGTCGTCATAGCCAAACCAACACCAGATCCTCATCCTCACATCTTGGACCCCTCCTCTCCTCTTCTTCTCCCCTCTCCCCTCTCCGCTCACTCCTCTCTCTCCTTTAGCAGCAACCCTACCTGCTCTCCTTCGCTCCTCTCCCCCCTCCCCCCTTCGTCTCCGCCCTTCGGTCAACTGCAGCGCAACAAAATAAGTGGCGAGGCGAGGAGCCACTCGAGATTGGGTCGCTGCCGCTGCACCTGCTGGGCGTGCCGGACAAGCCACCTGGTGGATGCGTCGAGGAGGACACAAACACCCACCCCTCCCCACTCCACTGCACTCCACGTCACCCCACCCCACCACACGTCACCGCACGTCACCGCACGTCACCGCACGTCACCGCACCTGGTAGATGCACGTGAGGTCGGCGGCGCCACTGGCGACGTCTACGAGGAAGTGCGTGAAGCGCACGCGCGGGGAGAAGCACCGCCGAATCACCTCCGCCTGCCGCCGCAGCGTGGGTCGCGTCACCAGCGCGCCGATCACCGCCACCGCGTCGCGCCGAGGGTCCTCCATCCCCCACCGCGCTCCTGCTGCCTCTCCTTCGTCCTTCCTCCGCCTCTCCCCGCTCTTCCTTCGCGCTTTTGCCGCTTTTGTATCTCTCCTCCTTCCAACCGTCAGCACGAGTGGTAAGGACTTCCTAACCCTAAGATCCGATACCCGATTTCCCCCTCTCTCGACTCACGCCGCCGCGTGATGGTCAGGCGAGGAACGGTCCGCCGTAGAATCTCGTTCTGGACGAAACGTGGGGGAGACGATATTCGCCGAAAAATCACGACGCTCCTGAAGCTCCGCAAAACATTATTCCCGCTGGAATCCCAGCAGCGGCGTGGAAACCCTCGTCGCTGATCGCTGAACGCCGATCGCTGATCGCCGCAAAACCGGTTTCCCGCTGTCAACGCCAGGTCGAGGCCTGCGCGGTGCTGGTCAGATGAATCCTGTCCTGAACCTCCTGCTGGCCCTTGGCAATGACGCGGCGCTGCTGTGACGAGGCGACGCAGCGATTCGTCGGCAGCTCGTTGGACGGCTGACGACCACGCGAGCGATGGTTCCGTTCGACTGGGACGACGATGCCTGCATGGCCCGTGTCGAGAAGGGTACCCGCATCGGTTCTCGCTTTTTACGCGAGCTGCGATCATATCGTCGCACGCTAACGCACATCGGCGCGTGTCGTTGAAATATGTCACCCAGCTCTTATTCTCCCTCGTGCTGCTTCCGTCGCGACTAGCAACCTCGGCACGCCTCGCTGCGTCATGCCACGCGATGCCACACAACTACCGCTTCAAGACCCAACTTGTACTTCTGAGTAATATATTACTCTTTTTTTCAAAGGCATTTCGTGAATATTAAAATTAAAATCATAGTGGCTGAATGTATGGAATAGGCTGAGCTAACGAATGTCGCACTAAGGGAAATTTTGAATCAACAAATGTATGCAAAGTTTATTTCACAGGGATTGCCTTGTGTAAGGAATTACGATTCGTTACTTAGCTTGACCATATCGAGTACAGCCCGGGAGCTTCGCGACTGTTGGGCTCGGCAGCCAACATTCTCGACCAAACCACTTCCGAGTCGCCCCCGAACCAAACTCCACCTTACCAAACCTCGCTTGTCTGGGGGTCTTCGCCTAGCCAGGATTCGCCCTATATTTGCCTGTCACTTTCATTACATCGGCATTCTGTTAGTCACAATCTCATTATTAACTTATTCCTGGCACTCCGTTAGTTATAACAGTTTCGTTCCCCACCCCGTCAGCTCCAACAGAATCGTCATGGCTTCATTTGTATCATCGCGCCACGATCTCCTCTCTGCGTCCGCCTTTCTTCCCTTCTCTCCCCTTCGCCCAACCCGCCCGGCTCTGCTGCTGCTACCCTGCTGCCTTACAGCGCCTTGCTTGCATGCTTCCGCTCGCCATGGCGGTAACCTCTTTTCCGCGGAGGTCGTTCTGCCGCGCGCACTTAGCGCAGAGCCTTCCCGCCATCGCCGCGGTAAACCCCGTCGCGCATTGTCGAGGAGAGGTTCCGTACGTGCGGCGCGCGCAAGGTGTCAACACGCGGAACGCGCGGGAGGAGCGGCGGCAGGCGCGGGGGAAGAACGCGCACGGGGGAACGGCGGAAGCCGAAATCACCTAGCGGCGCGGGTGGTGCTAGTGACCGCGCCTGCGCCGTACGACGCGGCGCTGAGCGCGGCAGTGCGCGCAGCAGGCAGGGAAGCAGTGACATGCAGCATGGTGGCCACAGATGTGGGCGATGAGGCGTGCCAGCGAGCAGTAGAGCGGTTCCTTGTGGGGGCTGGGGGCGGGCAGCAGAGCGAGGATGCGGGAGTGGCGAGTGAGGGAGTGAGTGAGGGAGGGAGTGTGGGAGTGCAGGATGTGGCAGCCATAGCGTTCACGTCTCGCAATGGCATCGCGGCCTTTGCAAACGCAGTGCAGCGACTGCCACAGCACATGCTGCCAGCTGCATGGAGGGACACAGACGCTCCCAGTCAACCCCAGCAACCCCTGCAACAGCATCCGCAGCAGCAGCAACGACTTGGACAGCAGCAGCAAAGTGAGGAGCAACAACAGAAGCAAGAGCAGGAACATCAGCAGCAGAGCAGCGCATGCTCTCCTCTCCTCATAGGCGCACTGGGTCGTGACGCCGAGCTCCTCTCCTCGCTCGGCCCCATCGTTTCGCACCCCTCCACACGCCTCGTCCTGCCACCTGTCGCCACGCCATTGGCCCTAGCAGACGCCCTGGGTCCAGGGCACGGGCGCCTAGTAGCATGCCCTGTGCCTCGGGTGGAAGGGCTAGAAGAGCCCCCCGTGGTGCCTTCTTTCCTGCGTGCTTTGGAGGAAAGGGGTTGGCGAGTGCTGCGTATTGACTGTTATGTCACCCGCTGGACTGGCAGGCATGCGCTCATGCCCGTTCTTACTGGTGTCAGTAATTTGGAATGGAGAGAAGAGAGGGGGGGAGATAGTGGGGAAGAAGAAGGCGGTGAGTTGGGAGGAGGGAGGGAGTGGCCAGCAGCAGCCGGAGCGCCAGCTGTGACAGCGGAGGCAGCACAAAGGGCAGTGAGCATGCACCCATCAGTGGCTGCTGTGGTGTTCTCCAGCACAGCAGAGGCACAGGGCTTTGTTGCCTGCTGCCATGCCATGGGCGTGCACCCCCTGCACCTCCTGGGGAGACACGAATCACACCCTCTTCATTCCCCTTCTGATGCCACCGCTGCTGCTGCAGACGGCAGTGGGGTGAGCAGGCGGGGGGTGGTGGTGGCAGCGCACGGGCCGGTGACAGCAGAGGGCGTGCGCAATGCGGGGTTGCCAGTGGACGTGGTGGGAAAGCAATTCAGCAGCTTTGCAGGTGTTGTTGATGCTCTTGCTGCACACCTTGCTGACTTGGATTGAGTTTCAAGAGTTAGGTGCTGCAAGGCATGTGCAACTCCCAGCATTGATTGTACGGTACCGGTCATTATCCCCGTTCTAGGTAGCCATGTGAGGTATAGAACTCTATTGCAGATACGATCACCCACTTGCATTTGAGGCGATTACATTTGACATCACTGAGGCAAGCTGTCAATCAGGAAGGAGGTTCACTTCAGTATCAGTCAGTACTATGCAAATTGTCAGCATACATTCGGTGCCACCAGCTCACACACTCCAAGAAACTCGAACACTTCATTTAAATACTCATACTCATGCGAGCTCTGCTGGTTGCAGGGAGCACGGCACCCCATAGCACACAGGAGCCAGCCCAATCAAGTGTCGCAGCCGGCACACACTCCTCGCTTCCGCCACAGTCCCTCCCACACACACACACTTACACTCCGGCAGCACCAGCACCGAATCCCCCCTCCCCCCCCTCCCCACTCCCCTTCCTCACACACCTCCACCTTCTCACACTCACACGCACCACCCCCACGCTTCTCCCTCTCCCCAACCCCACTCCCACTCCCCACCACCCGAGCCTTCCCAACCCAGCTCTCCAGAATCCGCTGGGAGTACCTATCAATGTCCCCATCTGTGACGTCCCACAGGTTACCCACGATGGCAGGGCAGCCAGCAGCCAGGTAATTGAGGGGCACACCCAGGGGCTCGTAGTCCCCCCGGGGGGAGAGGCGCGCACTGCTGCAGCCCATGAGGAGAGAGAGTGCGCAGCGAGAGAGCTTCTTGAGATACGAGCGATGCAGGTACTGTTCACCTGGTTAGGGGGGAAGGGGAGGGGTTGTCGAGGAGGAAGAAAGACGGTTCAGGAGAGGTGAGGAGAGAAGGGGAGGGTGGGGATTGAGAGGAGGGAAGGGCTTGGAGTGTGTGGAGGAGTGTAGCTGTGTTGAAGGTTTGGAAGGCGACCTGACCTGGGGCTTGACAGGCAGAGAGATGCACTTAGGAAGCAGCAACGAGCAACCAACAAGGCACATGGTATAGAGTGCGTTGATAGCATGGGGAGGGGAAGGAGGGAGAGGGGGAGAAGGGAGAGGGGAAGGAGGGAGGTACCGCTGCCATGGCCGCAGTAGACAAAGAGGCTGTATTGCTCCAGTGCCTTCAAGAACTCATCCTCTGATGGCGCCTCACACACCTTGCCCTGCTCGCCACAGACAGGAGAGATGGATGAGAGGTGAGGAGACAGAGTTAAAACATGCGATATTCTACAAGCATCCATACGCATGCACGGGTGTACACAAAATGACATACCCCGGGAGTGAACCGTGCATGCGCATGCACGCTGAAACGTGTATGTCGAGACATGCGCATGCATGATGATGCAAGCATGGCACCTCACCTTCCACGTGCGCTGCTGCTTGAACCACGCCTCAAACGTGCCCTGGGTGGACTTGAGGTCCCCAGACGGGTTGAGCAGGTAAAACGCACTCCTGGCGTCCACACTCACCCGCACCTGCCCCTCTGCTCCCTGCCCCGCCTTCCCCCTCCCACCCGCCCCTCCACTCTTCTTCCTCTCCCCTTTCACTCTCCCTTGCTGCTGCGTCTGCTGCGACTGCTGCTGCTGGTGGTGGGCGAGCAGGGAGAGCAGAGCAGTGAAGGAGGGCAAGCGGTAGATGCGCTGCTGAGCCAGACACGGCAGGCCCTCCCATGGCAATGCCTGGAGAGGAATAGGAAGGGGTGGAGGGGTGAACAGGAGGGTTCAACATGGGTAAACATGGGTTCGCACAGAGTTTATGAAATCAAACATTTTCTATCTATGATGGTTTTCCTATAGGGAGAATTCTCTGTCTCAATCACATTCACCCACCTGTATGGCGCTGTCAAGAATCAGCTGCACCGGTTGCCACTGCACCATCCGCTTTCCTCCACCCATCTCTTTTATCTGCACCTCCACCTTCTTCGACCCTCGTCCCCCATTCCCATTGCTGCCACGCCTCACAGCAGCCCCGCCACTGGCGCCCCCTCCCTTTCCTCCACCTGCAGCAGCAGGAGCAGCAGCAGCAGCAGAAGCCTCTACTGCTCCTTGAAGCGCCCTGTCAACGATCTGCCTCATCTTCTCCCCCTGTGCCTCCACTGCTGCAGCTGCTCTCGCACACATGTGCCCTCCTCCCCCTTCCACCACAGGCAACGCTGACAGTGCCTGGTGAGCCGTGGCAGCAAGCTCTTCAAAGGAAAAGGAAACAGGAGCAGCGCTAGCAGAGGCAACGGCAGATGCGGCCAACGTGGTAGTAGCAGGAGTAGCAGCAGCTGTGTTAGAAGCCTTATGTGTTACCCCAGCAGCAGAAGCAGCACGGAACAGCAGGTGAACGAGGAAGGCCGCACGCTGGATCTGCAGCGCCTGCTGTGCAGCGACCATCGAGCACGTGGGATCATCACAGCTGCACTGCATTGCCTCACTCGCCCTCTCACACCCTGCCACCACACCCCACTCCTCTCCTCCCATACCAGCACCAACAACCCGGGCAAGCTCACTTCCCGCTGCCGACAAGACACCACCAGCCACGGACCCACCATCAGCAGCATCAACCACCTCACTTTCACTGGGCTGTCCGAGGAGCAAAAACGCCCACGGCCCTAGCAGCTGCGTCTCCATGCCTCTCAGCATAACCTGCAGGCGCTCATCCAATGTGAGCCTCCACTTCCACCATGCGGCCTTGCTCTCCTTTGATGCTGCACTAGCGCCCGCTGCCATAGACGCACTGCTCTCCTTCATGATCGCCTCAAACTCCCGCCTCGTCTGCTGCATTGGCCCCTCGCTCCACTGAACCTTCTGCCTCCCCTGCCGCTCCTGCTGCCCCGCGCCTTCTGCTGCTGGTGTTGCACCTTCCCTCCCTCCACCAGTCACCCTTCCTGCCGCCACCACCGCCGCCGCAGCTGCTGCTGCAGCCACTGCTGCAGCAGAAGCTGCTGCTGTTCTGTGCTGTGCTGTGGGGTCGTGTCTGGTAGGCCTGTCGCGCACACAGGAAGACTCAGACTCACAGGACGAGGCAGCAGAAACAGGAGAGGAGCAGGGCGACGAAGAACGAGATGAAACCTCTTCCACCTGCCTGCCCTTCTTCCCCTTTCCTGCCCTTCCCTTCGCTGTAGCAGCTTTCGCAGAGGCTTTCCCAGCAGCCTTCTTCCCTGCCTCTTTGCTTCTGACGGCAGTAACTGCTTCCTTGCTCCCTGCCTTGCCTTTCCCTCGCCCGCGGCCTCCCTTCTTGCTCGGCCCGTTAGCACTCCCTTGACCCTCCTCCACACAGCTGCTGTCCCCTGCATCCTCCTGCGCATTCCCACCTCCCAGTACGGCTTGCCCAGCTCCACCTGCTGCAACTGCCCCTCCACTGAAACCACCACCACCACCAACAGCACAGGCAACAGCAGCAGTGGCAGTTGCAGCAGTAGCAGCAGCAGTGCACGGTACAAGCAGCACCAGAGGGGGAGCGCCGGCAGCAACGCGAGTGAGCAGCAAGCATGACGCCTCCTTCCTCACCCTGCCACTCCCCCCACTCGTACACCCTGCCTGGCCCCGGAACGCAGGCACCAAACCCCCATGTGCGTGTGGGGCGCCCTCGAGAGCGCTCAGGTGGATGACAGGGAACGAGGGGGGAAGGCGGGTGATGTGATGGTGGAAAGCGCGGAGGGAGGAGGCGAGGTGACGAGGGTGAGGGCACATGGGTAGCCTGTGACACACAGCGGGGAGGGGAGGAGTGAAGGACAGGGGGACGGATTGGTACTGCAGTGTGCAAGGGGATGAGCCAGAGCACAGAAGAGGAAAGTGTTGTGCATGCTCAACGTTGCACTTTGCAGGGGGGCTTGAAAGGCACGACAAGATAAGACAGACAGACGGGTGCTATAACAACCGATCAGCAACAAGACAAGGCAGGCACTCCCATGAAAATGGGCCTAGTGGTTCTCTCCTGCTACCATACCTGAGCGCATCCATTATTCTCTCTTGCACCACATGCCTGTCCTCCAACCGTCCATCCGCCTCCCTGCTCGTCACCACCTTCCCTTCGTCCTGCCTGCCCAGCTGTGCTATGAGCTGTGCCACCTGCTGCATGCGACTGGTGGCGCCCACTGCAGCAGCGTGGAAGAGCGCGCCTAGCAGCGCAGGATCACACACACAAGCACCCTCAGCAGCTCCAGCAGCGGCACCACCTCCACAAGCAGAGTGGTATGGTGAGGAGCAGATGGTGCGGAGGTGGGAAACATGGCGCGTGATGGAGAGGGGGTGCGACGGGTCGTGGTTGCGCTGGGTGGTGGTGAGGGGAGTGGCGCAGGCGGTGGCAATGAGGTGCGCAACCTGTAGGTGGGGACGCAGAGCAGGTGTGGGCAGAGACAGGGAGGCACTGTAAAACAACCGCTTTGTGTTCCTAGAGAGTGTGCACACGGAAAGACCAAGTGTGAGAGGGTAGGCATAACACGAAAACGAATCAGCAAGAGCACACTGCAGCACAGATGGTTGACAGGGGAGAAGAAGACAAAGTCGGAAAAAGAAAAGAAGAAGAAGAAAAAAAAGAAGTTGGCCAGAGAGGGAAGCATCACCTTGCGGAAGAGCAGAGGAGCTTCAGAGGAGAGAGTAGCTGCATGCAGCAACCAGTGTGTCACAGTACCAACATTCAGCCCCTCCCACCTCCCCACTCCCTCAACTTCCCCCCGGTTCTGCCTGTGCAGCAGCAGCAGCGACAGGCGCCCCACATTCAGCAGCAGAGCAGCACGAATCAGAGGGCTGCTCGCATATTGCTGGCAGCACACCTTCACATCCTGCAACCACCCTTGCTCCGCATACTCCCCCTGCTCCCCCCGCACTTGCTGCTGAGAATGCCGCATCTTTCCAGCTGATGCTGGTCCATCCGAGAAGGGTTTCCCACAAGGGCAGGTGGAGGAGGAGTGGGATGTAGCGGATGGGAGTGAGCAGCAGGCGTGGGAGGGGAGGGTTGTGGGGGCATGCAGCGAGGTGCTGCTGCTCCTTGCAACCACTGCCAGGGCCTTGCGGAGCAGGTGGCCTGCCACTGGCCAATTGCAGGCTTCCATGTGGCAGCGCGCTGTTGGTTCAGGTGGATAAACAAGAGGGAGGTGAAGGAAAAATGTTTAGGGTGTTCTTGAGGAAGGCCTAACGGAAGTATGGCATTTTCGATAACAATAGCTTAATCAAAAAACCCATGACTGACTGCAATCACAGTGTTCTCGAGAGAACGATCATCCTGTCCATGGTCCTCTTTCCAGCACCCACCTTGTGAGAGCAGTGAAGTGACCAGTGCCTCCACTGCAGCTGCCATCCATGTTGCCTTCACCAATTCATGCTTCTCAGCTGCTGTCTCCTGCAACTCCCACCCTGCCCCTCCCACACTCCACCACTCTTCCTTACACATGCCCCCATCCTTCACCCTCCGATTTCCACCTCTCCAACTCCCTTCTCCCCATTCCTTCCAGCTCTCACTCATTCCTCTTCCCCCTCCTTGTCGCCCATCCGTCTGCCTGGCCATAGTATCAGCACCTCTTACTATCTCCACGGGACTGAAAAACTCCTCCATACCGCTGCTCTCCTCCTCCTCATCCTCTACCACTTGTCGCCTCCTCGCCCTGCTTGCAGGCGTGCGCACAGATTGTTTCGGAACGCGCTTTTGGCAAGATCCAAACAAGCCCGCCATGTCATCCTCTTCATCCTCCTCCCCCTTTCCGTCCTCCTCCTCTTCTTTCTGTTTCTTCTCTGCCTTCACCCCTACCCTATGCCTGACACCACGTGCTGCTGCTGCTGCCTTTTGAGTAGTTTTCTTTGCAGTCTTTAGCATCTCGTTACTATCACCCTTCTGTGCCTCACCATCGCTTGCATCACTGGAGCTATCATCAGTCAGCAGCGACACCACCTCCACTGGACCCTTGACCTTCCTCCGCGGACCACCAGTTGGAACAGGAGTTGCAGCAGTAGAGGCATGGACAAAGGAGGATATTGTAGTAACAGTGGAGAAAGAACTTCCATCCACATCCCCTAGACCCGTAGCTGACGTTCTTTTCTTGGTCTGTGTACCCCTCCCTCCTAGCCTTAGCCCTCCTGTCTTCACTCCTGTCTCATCAGCCTCTCTCCCCTCAACTGCAGCCTTTGCTTGCCTGCGCCCTGCACTGGCCTTCACCCCCTGTCTTGAATTCCTGCGAGCTGGCTTTGCCCCAGCAACCTCTTCTGTTGCACTCCAATCCTCGTCACTTTCTGATTCAATAACCTCCACAACATCATCATCCTCCCCGTCTACACCAGCTGCTTTATTCCCCCTCTTCACAAATGCATTACTGCATCCGCGCCCTCCTGTACCACTCGCCCTGCTTCCTCTTCTTCCCATATCCACCGCTTTGCTGTGTGTGCCATTCCCTTTCCCTTCCTCCTCTTCTCCATCTCCTCTTTCACTCTCACTCCCACCCGCTTTCCCTCTTGCTCGAACCCTTCCAGGTGCTTTACCTTGTCTCACCGGCCCAGCCTCAGCAGCAGCACCAACCGCTTGTGCCTCCTCATCTACTGGCGTCCCCAGTTTCGTCCCAGGACTTCCACTGCTTCCATCCACGTCCTGCCCAGCCTGCTTTGTCCCCGATTTCGTCCCATTCACCTTGATCTCTCCCAGCGCCTTTCTCCCTGAAGCCTTGGCCTTGGCCTTGGCTTTACCCGTGGCCTTACCCTTCCCTTCCTTCCCCTTTACTGTTCTCATTTCCTCATCCTCCTCCCCAGCATCATAACCATCCCCGCCTTTCTCTACACTCCCTCCTTCACCACCCTTCAGCCTCTCACTCCCTGATCCTCCCTCCGCCTCTTTAGCCTCCACTTCAAATCTCTGCAGAAGCTTGCACGGCAGCACATCACCCTTCTCCTCCTCTGGCACCTCCCCCAAATCCCCACATGCACCACCAACGCACCCATCCCTCTCCTCATCCTCCTCCTCCTGTATCCCATCACTGCCTTCCCACCCCTCCCCCATCAACCCCTCCACTTGCCCTTCAAACGCCCGCCGAACCTCGCCATACCAAGGCATCAACTGACCCACAGCCTTCTCAGCCCTGCTGTAGTGCTCGACCGCTCCCTCCCACCCGCCACCACTCCCCCTTTCATCACCACCATTCTTCCCTCTCTTCTCACCCACACCCTCTCTCCTTCTTGATGGCCTTAATGCAGAGCTCACCTCCTCCTCCTCTTCCTGAGCATTCTCACGCTCGCCCTTCACCCCTTGCAGCCCCGAACCTTCCAAGTCGGCTCTCCGCCGTGCCAGGTCCCCGAGCCTCTGCTGCAGGTTTGACTCAGCTATGGCAGCGCAGCCTCGGCAGGTGGCTTCGGCAAGAGGGTGTGCGTGGGAGGGGTGGGTGGGAGCAGCACGCAGCAGAGCAGCAGCGTGGGCAAGATGCTGCTCGGCCTTGTGCCAGTTCCTGCACTTGCGGCTGAGATGACCTGAAGGGGTTCAAGGTGAGAGGTGTACGGAGGAAGAGAGCAGTGTTAGGCGAAGAAAAACGAGCCATATTGGAACGAAGATGGTGTGGTACACTAAACGAGATAAGAACAGAGCAAGGAATGTTGACAAAGATGCAGTGATTGATGTTGAGATAAAACAGTGAACGAAAAGGCTGAGGTTCACCCACCGAGAGAGGAGGAGAAGATGCCTTGGGCATGTGGGAGAGCAAGAGCGCGGGCAATGTGAAGGCCTTCTGTGAAGCGCCGCTCCGCCTCATCTGTCATGCCCAGGTGCTCGAATACACTCCCCAGCTGAATCACGTGGGGGGGAGAAGAAAGACAACATGATGGACACGTGTAAGCGATTGAGGGTTGATGACATCCGTCAGGGAACATGATAATACTGAACAACAGGACAAGCTGCAAGAACAAGGGGAGGAGAACGGACAACAGCACCTGCCCTCTGTGTCTCAACTCCATCACACCAGCAAAAACGCAGTCCACTTTCCTCCATTTCCCCCACCCTCACCTGGTGCAGGCTATCCACATAGTCAGCCACAAGCCTCCACGGGCTGAGAGCACCACTGCCTGCCCCGTCCACCTGCCGCCCGCCAACCACAGCAGGCCACGTGTCCCGCATGGCCTCATGCGTTGCCACCAGGTGATCCCCCTCCCGCATGCTGTACTGTAGCCCAGGCACGTGCTTCTTCCCCCCCTGCGCCTCCTGCTTCTCGCAGCCGGTGGTGGTTGCGGTTGCTGTGCTGGCAAAAGAGCCTTCATGAGCCGTCACGTATGTGACCAGGGAGGCGTCAGAAGAGGCAGCAGTAAGAAAGGTGCCACTGGAACCAGCACCAGTACCGGCACCAGGAGCAGCGTTTCCAGGTGCGGAAACGGGGGGAGCAGCAGAGCTGGCAGCAGAGTGGGCCGGCATGGCGGCGTCAGTGGCAGCAGTGATGGCCTCACGAGAGGCTCGGGTGAATACGTGGGAGAAGGCTGCAAGGCGCCACCTGTACGCCTCTGAAGCATGGTGGTACGCCTGGGAAAACGGGGAGAGTGAATGAAAGGAGAGTTGAAGCATTAGGTAGGAGGACATGTGTCCTTGATTTGATGACTTCAGAGCATTGAGCTCGAAGGTCTGAAGACATTAGCCAGAATGTGGCAACCTGCATCTGCCTTCCTCCGCATTGATCACCATCACACTCTATCCCTCATTCATTTCCTCCCAGAGTGGTCCTCGCACCCCACCATGTCTCCCTTTCCGTCCCCCTACCTATCCCCATCCCCATTCCCTGGCCCCCAAGCACAAGTTTCCGGTGCTGCACTATGCGATGCATGCGCAGAGAGGGGAGCAAGCAAGTCACCTTGGTCGCAAGGCCGCGTGACATGTGATGGTGTGCGAGCAGAAAGTGCAGCCCGCTCTGAAAGGCAATGACCTTCACCGTCTTGATCTCCTGGCGTGGAAGGGAGCAGCGCACAGTGGGTGGATTGGTAGTAGATGAGAGGAAGGGAGGGAGGGAGGGAAGGATGGAGGGATGCATAAATGAATGGATGGATGGGGATGCATGTCACGGCATGGAAGGTTAATGCTGCTCTTCTGGAAGCCACATGTTGACTTTGAACCAACATGCACATTGAAGCAGAACAGCAATTGAAACATGTCCAGAGCACCAGAGCAGGGCACTCATGCTCCCAACACGCACCTCGTCGCCTTGATTCTTCAGCATGCTGCTCAGCTGTTGCTCCACTTGCTCCCCCTCACTGCAACCGCCATGCAACGCCACTGCTGCTCTCAGAAGCGACCATTCCCCACTCCCTGGGCCCCACGGTTCCTCCCCCATGCCCTTGCTTCCACACCCCTTCCCTGTGCAGCCTGGATCGTCACTACTGCCCCTTGCTGTCACATGCAAGGCAGGTCCCGCTGGCAGGTCGGAAGGGAGAGCAAGTGCGCAGAGCATGTGTGATGGCCGAGCATTGCCGAATAACCTATAGTACACCTCCTCTCTGTCTTCCCACCCTGCACTCTTCTGCTGCTGCCGAGGTTCTGCGGAGGCAGAGGCAGATGCAGGGCGCCTGGAGCATGCGAGGCGCAGGGATAGATGGCGAGCCATGAGGTGGTGTGATGAGGCCTGGCGTGGAAGAGCAGGCAGGATCAGGGAGAGAGTGCAAAGGGGACAGCATGAGGGAGAGGGGGACGGCACAGGGAAACATGAACAGGGGACACAGAGGATTCAGCGCTGCAGTCAAAACACAAGGCACTTACTTAGAATGTCCTGTGCGGAAGCATATTCAATGTGATTACACGATGTGATGATACATGTTAAGGAGATGGAAGGGAGAGCTTGAGAAATACCTGAAGGGACAGAAGGTCCATCACGGAGGCAAGGAGTTGCCACTCGGAGGCTCGGGAGAGGAAGGAGGCTGGCCAGGGCAAAGGGGACAGGCGCATTGCCATGCTCCAGAGGTCCAATGCTCTTGTTAGGTCCTCCCATGCCGCCTGCTTGTTAGGAACACGTGACACAGAATTCAAATATTTAGAGATGTTCGCAAGTTGAACATGAAGGACAGGAAGTAGGGGAAACGAAAACAGAGCCAGGGCAGGGGAAGAGGGAGGTTGCGATGGACCAAAGAAAGCGCAGACTGTAAAAAGGTCCCACTTCCTCCGTACCCGTTCGACCATCCGTGCAGTCTGTAGAATATTGTTGACCCAGGTTCCGTACCTGGTTGCTTGGCTGCATCTCATACGTGAACATGCCCCTGACGCTGAGAGCAGCAGCGGAGCATCGGAGCACCTCCAGCACCGCACGCACTCCCTCTCCATCCGCCCCTGTACTTGCATCTCTCGCACCGCCCGTGCTTCCCTTCTGCTCCTTCTTCTCCCTGAGCCGCAGCCAGTTGCTCAGCAACGTGAGTGGGTCCTTTGCCTTGGAGTTGCCGCCAAGAGCGTTGCTTCTCTTCTGCAGCTCGCCTTCCTGTGGTGGCACAGCACCACATAGGGAAGGGGAGGGAAGAAAAAGGGAGGGGAAGGGGGAGAGGAAGAGAGGGGGGGAGTGGGGGGGAGCTTGGATCGAAAGGATCATGTAAGACCGAAGGCAGAGCATAAAAAGAAGACCAATCTACCATAGCAACGTCATGATTTGAACGGGAAATGCCTTCACACCCTAAGAAACCAACTTGAAAACAGACAAAGGCCAGCCACGCACCATCAGGTCAACAGCACCATTCAGCCCGTCCCAGATTCGACTCTCCCCTGCAGACTCCCCATCCTTCCCCAGTCCTCCTTGCTCCTCCACCACTCCACTGCGAGCAGCAGACGCAGCAGAAGCAGCAGCAGTCCGTGCAGAGGAGAGGAGGCGCAGGCAGCGGGTGTGCTCCAGCAAGGCAGCAGCGCGGTGCAGAGCGGTGTGGGGGCGGTGTGCAAGAACGTGCGTGGTGAGGTGGTGCAGCACGTCAATGCGGGCTGCCAGGCACCGTTGCTGCTGCTGCTGCTGCCCGCAATCGTCATATGCTGACAGCTCCTGCACAGGTCGAGCACACACAATAACGGCGGGGGCGTTACGCAGGACGCATGGACTGATTGGGTACAGACTACTGCAGCCTGCTGCAAGGGCAAATCATGTACAGCAGTTTCTTGTGGACACATGACATGGTGCGGCATCAGCTCGCACTCGCACCAAGGGTGCATCTCCAACCGGGTAGCCCTCACTACCTGCATGATGAGTCCTTCCAGGGCGGCAGGGTCGCTGGTTATGCCCTCAATGGCGTGCAGGGGCACGTGCTCCTGTCCTGCCTCCATCCTCGATGCTTGCACCTGCACATGCCACCCGCGACAAGGAAGGAGAGGTGAACCACAGTTGGTATATGCTCTGGGAATCCCAAATCGGACACATCTCTGACTGGTGTCACGGACTAGCCCTGTAAAGGTGTTCTAAATGTTCCAAACCCGCCACAGAACCATCACTGAGATGCCAAGATACAGAAGCCGCAGGCATTACCTTTCCCCATTGCTGAGCCAGCAAGGCAGGCCCTTCCAGCTGCCTGTCTCCCTCGTGCTCGCCCTCCGTGCCCACCCTCTCTCCTCCCCACCGCCGGAGCCCCTCCTCCAGCACCTGCTGTGCTTGCTCCAGCTGGCCTACGCGCCTGAGGGAGAGCGCGAGCAGGTTGCAGCGCACACACTGCTGCAGCACCTTCGTGCACCACTCCTTCTCCTTCTCCTTCTCCCCCTCCTGCTGCTCTGGCCTGGGCTTCAGTGGGGACGCCTTGATGGCCGCGAAAAGGAGTGCAAGCGGCTCTACAGCCTGCAGGAGGGAACACGCAATGCGTATGGCAGGTGGAAGGTGCGTCAGAGAAAGAGCATGCACAGCCCAGTGGGTGAAAAAGGTTTAAGGGGGGAGGCAAGGAGAAGGGTTGGTGGATGCATAGTGGGTGGGTGAGGCGCACACGTAGTCCATCCATGCCTTAACTGAGAGCAGAGGCCACAACACACAGAAACAGATAGGAAGAAGGTCCCAAGGTGGCAGAAGAGCGCGAGCTATGGTGCAGCGTGTGCAGCCAGGCCTGCGTACCTCGGTGTGGCAGTTGGCGTTGTAGCGGTTGACGCCCATGTTGTACACAACGCACTGCATCCACTCGCGGTCCTTCTGCTCCACCACCCCGCTCTGCCCCTCCACCAGTAGCTTCTTCAGCTGCTGTGCTGCCGCACTCTGCCATGCCATGGTACATACAATGCCCAGGAGGAAATGAACAACCAAGGAATTCAGGGTAAGCTCTTAGAAGTCAGCCAAACAAAACAGAACAGATTTTTTCCGAAACCAGGTGAACAGGATACTTATCGCCCAACTTTACAAAGCGCACTCCTGCAGAACAAGGTGAACGATACCCTTGTTCAGCCGCTTGCTGTCATTCCCCTCACCTTCTCCGCAGGGGGCGAGAGTAGGGCCAGGCGGTAGGCAGCGAGGGAGCCAGACGCAGCTGAGCGAAGCTGGCACAGGTTCTGTAAGTCTGGGTCTGAACCAGCCAGCCTGCACGGAGACACGGGAGAAGCAGTCAGACACGAATAGAGTCAGAGTCGACAAACCACATACTAGGAGTGCAATCACAAGGGTTTCGGGGTTGGACAAAGAGCAACAAAAGATGCATGTGGTAACACATCAAGACGAGCACATGCTGCAGACCACACGTGGACTATCTGCCTCGCGAGTTGGCCAGCATTGGAGCTCACTTGTGAAACGCTTCAGAAGCTGGCACCACACAGAGCAGCAGGTCTTGCAGGCACGCCCAGAGTCGCTCCACTTGGGATCCTTTCCTGCTGTACGCCCCGCCTGTTCCTGCCTTCGCACGCCGCACCATGTCCTCCTGCCATTGCTGCTGCGCGAACGCGGACACCACTGACTCTACACACTCCAGCACGTGACACAGCGCCACTGCTCGCTCCTTCTCATTCCCCTCCTCCGACTCACGTTTTCCCACATCCCCGGCTTTCCCAAGCCTAGCCAATTGCACTTTTATCCCCGCCACTGCTGCTTGGACTGCTTCGACGATCTTCTCCGCCTGTTCCTCCGTGTTTTCTCCAAATCGGCTCTTGCCTTTATCGCTACCGCCCTGGGATGGCTTGGCATTGTTGGAGGAGTCTCGCTTGATGGAGTAGGTGGTAGCGAGGTGCAGAGCGGCGCACACAGCAGCCCAGATGCTCGCCATGGCACTCCCAGGCTGCGTGTTTGAAGGAAGGTATGCAGCAAAGCACGATAGATAAGTGACAGGGATGAGAGACGCTCAGAAGCATAGACTGACAAGGAAAAAAATGAGGTGAGAACGCAGCAGTCGGTTTACACCACACTACCTTAGCTTGCAAGAGATGCTGCTGGAGAAACTGATGCGCGTGCGACGAAGCCCCATGGTCCACTGAATGCGACACATAGCTCGCCACCACGCACGCTCGCGCCACCAACAAGGAGCATACGGGGGGATTTCCAGACTGCAGGAGTCAACCACCAGACGCATTGACACAGAATGGGAAAGTGGGGGTTGTGAGCTGGCTGTTACAACTCGTAAAGCGAGCACAAAGGCTGCCAAATGTCACGATAAGATCTCGGCAATTGTCTCGAAACAGATTGAAGCAGCTTGGAGCAACTTGAAGAATCCTGGGAAGCTTGAAGCGTCTCATACCTTCACATATTTGGAAGCTGGCTGCATCAGTGTGGTGAGTGCCTGCTCCCACATGACCCTGGCCATTGCTTCATGCCCCTTATCAACCGCGGAGGCCGCAACCATTTTCAGAAACTGGCCAGGACAAGGAATCCGAAGAGTAAACAAACACTAAAAGTGAAACCAAAACACCAAGGTCGGTGCGATCAAGCTTGTTGGGGCATAATTGAATGAGACGATTCGCTATGGGCATGGGTTGCAGCAGACAGAGTCAGGGATTTCTGGTTCCTTACCCCTATTAGCTTCCGCGCGTCACACCACTCCACCCCACTCTGGACCAGCAGCGTCACCAGTTGCATGACGTGCGATGACGTCACTCCGAGAGCCTTCCCGTGGGGAAGCAGAACCGTGAGAAGCTGCGAAAGGGTGCGCATCAGAATCTGACCGTTCCGAACACGCGCAGCAGCATCCAACGCTCTGGGGAGTACAGAAGAGGAGAGGAAAAAATGGACGACATTAGAGAGCGAACGGCAACAGAGAGACAAGAGCGCACGAGGTTGAGGACATGCAGTAATGAGTTCCCAGATCGAAGGTTCGAGAGCAATAGATCACGAAAAACTCAAATCTCAAAGCGCTTCATCGTTTTCTATGTTGCGGCCCGAAGCCAAAACGTAGCAAGATGAAATCTCCACATTGGACTTGTCGATTTGACCTGCTGCTACTGAGCTCGTGAACTAGACTCACCGCAGCCATGGAGTTAACTTCGCCACGAGATCTGGCAGACGTTTCAGCCACAGTGTCGCGCGGCGCGTTGCATCCTTCGATTCCGCATCTACCGCGGCAGAAGTGGCGGCAGCAGCTCCAGCGGTAACAATATCCGCGATGCAAGATATCGAGTTAACGGAAGCACCTACGACCAGCATCTTCAGTTCATCCGTGTCTTCCTGGGCCGGCGATCTCAAGGCGAGAACGGCGTCATTGTCGTTTACGCTGACGCCATCAATTGTCGTCAAGCGAGATTTCCGTTGTCCGTGAGACGGCGGATCACCGAGGGTTAAGCGGAACGAAGTGTTCCCTTGAAAAATGCATACCATGGATTGTAAGAGAGTCCAACCTTCCTCTGCTCCATCCTGCGGGAATTTTAGGGTCAGCAGTCGATGGACAAGGATGTTGCGATGACGCTCGTTCTGATATTGCGTGCTGCTCGTCAGCCCGTTACGGAGAATGTGAATCGCGTGTATCGAAACTCGTGCTATGTCCAGCCAGACGTAAACTCGCTCACGCAACTGTATTGAACCGGGATTAAACGATGCGCCTTGCGAAGACTGTGAGTCACTCTTGCTCGCGGCATCGGACAGCTTAGTGAGAGAGATCTTTGTACTCTGTACGAGGAACGGAAGGAAACGCTTCGTCAACGCCCTTAACTGCGTATCGGTGGCAGCAAGCGGCTGACACAGATCGGGCAGTGGCGCTATGTAGTCACGGAGGTCAGTAGCAAGATTAGAGATTTGGCCAGAGTTCAGCTTCTCGAGCAAAGAAGCTCCTTCGGAATCCATCTAAGTGATAAGCCTACACTGAACGTTAGCTCATGGAACCTGATAATCAGTTATCAGCACAGTCCCTACTAAGAGGTCAGGGTTCAAAGGATGCGCAGTGCTATTGTTGAGTCAAAACGAGAGGATGAGCTTTGCGGTGCGAAGTGAAAGAAATGGAATGCTGGGTCTTGTGAGGTGAACTAGAAGTATGGTGCCAGTATGTCTTGGAGCCTTCAGCCAGAGTTGATGGTCACATCACATGGTCGGCTTGGTTGAGGATGGCATCGCTCGCCCTTGACATTATCCTCCCAGGCCAGCTCCATCCAGGCAATACCGAGAGAGGACGGGCCGCGCTAAGGTTTCGAGCAAATCCCGCCAAGTTTTTGAACCTGACAACTTCGAACTTGCAGAATCAATCCTCGACAGGTGGATGGCTCGCCGAACGTTTTACTGAAATAGAGATTTGAACTTCAATAAAACTTTGACTTTTCTTTCATTCTGTGTATTTCTAAAATACCATATAGATATTTTTTCTTACCTGTTTCTAGGTAGCTATCCATATCTGAATCACCTCCCAAGTAAACGCGGATCAAACCTTTGAGGTTAAGTGTTTTAGACAATAGCATAACTCAATCAATGTTGCAGTTTCCAAACAAAACCATAATCAATGTTGCATCTATTTTGCCTAACAGCTGCATCATACGCCTCAGCAAGTCTGCTTGACCATTAACTTTCTCCAGTTTGCCTCATTGAATAAGCCGTGTACTGCGATGTTTTACAAGTAGCCACCTCCCTAGCTGATGTAACTGGTACGGTACTACTTCCAGAGAAATGCCAACCACAGTAGTATGGCAGAAAGTATAATAAGGCATGCGTTGAACCTGTGTGCGTTAAGAAAACCCTTGGCACTTTGTATTGGCCGCCAATCGGTCGAAACAGGACTGCCAGGTGCTCTGTCTGGTAGGCACTGATCAGTCGTATATTGAAGTATGTAGGCAAGTTCTTGGCGAAGCCTGGCAGGCAGCCCTTCTTTGTCTGAAACGAAGCACCACTGTCAAGATACGCGCGCACACACACAAAACAAATCAAAAAGCAAGATGCACACCCATCATAGCCTTCGCACAATCCACAAACGTGTGTGCCTCAACAACGTGCGATGCATAGGAAACCTTGATCATATTCTGCACCTCCACCTCAAGGATCGCCTGCCAGCCAAGATTGCACAGGGGTGGTCGTCAGACATAATATTCAACCCTGTCAGGTGGGGCAGAAGCAAAGGCATACCCTTTCAGACCAGAGAGCGAATGATTGAATGCTTGCTTGAATTGCCCCTTGCTCGATTGCAGGTCTAAGCACTGTCTTTTTCGAGAATAATGTTAACTGAGACAGCTTGACCAGGGTTGATGCACCGTGATCGCACGCCTGAACTTCCCACAGCATCTGGTAGGTAACGTGATCAAAATGTGATACTGGAAATCAAGCGGCAATAGCTGATTACCTTAACTGAGAAGTAGTCTCCCAATGGAAGCTTTGGCATGCACTGGAATGCAACAATACTGAAACTTCCATCGCTTTCCTGGTGAAGATGCTGAACGACCTCACAATTTGTCGACTTTGGTCCAAAAAAATAGTCAATTGGGTGTTCGAATGACATGCACCGAGTACCGGTGTTAGAGCCTTCCTCCATAGACCATCTCGAGCAATAAAAACCTGCTAAACGAAAGTTCAAGGCATTAGAAAACACGGATAAGAAACTTGCCAAAGGAAACGAAATACGTACTCTTGTCTCCTTGCGAGGTGTGAAAACGCTCCAAAAAGGAAATTGCGTTGTCCGAGAACAAGGAGTGAAACACGTTTTCCACGCTTGCCTGATGAAATCAACTGTCAAATTGTTGAACAAAGAGTGAAGAATGAGATGGTAAACAAATGCATTGACAAACCTGGATTTTCTTTTCACCAATAAAATTAAGCTTGGATCCGGATGCAGTCGCGAAATTAGCATCATTGCAGTACAGTTCTTCCTGGTTATCATGTGCACCTGCACCCTGCTTCTCCGTGGACAAGCAGTTGAAAGACTGGTCCATGCATCCAGAGCTCATGGTCATGTCAGATACTGAAAGAGATCGACATCTGGACCTCCTGGCACCCTCTGGCACAAAGTTAACGTCTCCTGGAATGCTGCATTTTAAAAGTGGTGTAAGAAGGGTGCACTGGCTTAGTTAAAAGAGATGACGAGATGTAGAACACTGACAGGTCTGAAAGACTCTCACTGCGGATCATCTTGTCAGCGCCATAGAGCCCTTTGTCCTGGACGACCTGTGCAATCAGTTCTGCATGTTACACGAGCACCTCGGCAAGCTACTGAAACACTTACACTGGATTAGAATCAAACCAGCCTTACTGAGTCCCTGGACTTGTTCCATAACTCAAGGAGCAGCTTCAGAGCACGTTCTTTGTGCTGCAAACATATGAATGTATACTGGAAAGAGCCACCAATCGTCAGAAAAAGGGACCATCGTTAACTAACGGCAACAAATGAGGTACCTTCTTCTCATTCGCCATATGACATTCAATGCCGCCGACAACTCCAGCAATTTTGGCTTTGCGGACCACTGTCATGTCCCTGAAGTTCAACGAAATCTGGAACGAAAGGCAACGTTAGCTGAAGCAATGTGTGAAAGCCACGAGTTTGTGAGTATACCGTGATAATGCCATTGAGATGGTGTCCACGAAAGCAAGCTTCAGTTTCAAAAAGATAAAGGCGACCCTGGAAGCCGAAAGTTCGTTGAAAGAAGAAGTCACTAGATATGCAAGAATCTGCTACCATGTACCTGGACGAGTACTTTTCGATGCATAAAACATCCGAATGCGGAGTGGAAAACCTGAAACACGGAATGCTACATTGAATGGCAAAAAAAGGGGGTGAAACTAAGAGAGTAGATAGCAGACGAGGAATGGTACACTATACCTGGTCCCTATCCAGACCAAAAAAAGACCATGGTTCAGGCTGACGGGAAGCGATTTTGAGAACCTGCACAAGGACCAAGTGAATTCGGCGAAACCCCCAGGTGTTTGTTTGTTTACGCAGGAAAGCGTTTTAGGATCGGTCTGCGACCATACTTGTTTTCCCGAAGCTTCCAGCTCACACTCGTCGGATGGTAGGACAGTAGCAGAACTGGACCTCCTCAACACACTCCGTAATGGATGCTCCATAGCGACTGACTCCTGGTCGCGAGCGACGACGCTCAGGAAAAAGCTCCTAACTAAAGCAATGCAGAGGGTTATTGCTTCTGATGTGCTTATGGGTTCCACTGTACACTGCTGATGAAGGACTTGCTTACAGTGCGGCTCGGTTACTGCTTGTCCCTATGAGGTATGGTTTGGCATGTGGCGCTAGGAGAGCACTTTCAATCTCTACTAAACCATGTTACACGCAAATACCCGTGATAATTTATGTCACACCTGATTTTACCGCGTATCATCTTGTACACCGCTCTCTACAGTATCATCACTGAAAGTACATTCTTGGAAGTACAACTTCTCAAATCAATGGATACTTTTCCTAGTGGACGCATCACCAATCATCACAAATACAATATAGTTGGATTTAAATTCATTGAATCTTAAAATTATCAACATCAATTGGACTTTGGTTATAGTCTTTTCCAAAACCATGGATTGGAAAAGGATTTGGTTCTATTTGGCAGGGGATTAGTAATGAAAAAATTGAACATGATAACAAACGCTGCCCATGATAAAACACTCCAGGCCGACAGCAGATCCTAGCGACAGGGCCCGTGCTAGGTTTTGGGACACCCTGAGCCCTCAGGGCACTTTTCTAGAATCCAAAAAAATGCCCTGATTTCTCAGGGCAAATCTTCAGAGCCTTCCTGATTGGTCAGGGCTTTTGCAGAAAATAATCCTGACCTGTCAGGGCAAAAATTGTAGTGTTCAGGGTTCTGATTTTATCACAAACAGACCAGACCAGACTCTGTTTAGCATAGCAGAGCAGCCGCAGCCGAACTTCACTACTAGTGCTGCTGCTACTCTAACAGCAACACTGCAAGGGTGTTGGATGGAGTGCTACTGAACGTCAGCGTGAGAAACCCAGCTAGAGCTAGCCAGGCAGAGGACGAGTTGCCTTGGCGGTGGGTGATGGGGTGGGGTTGGCTTGGCTGGTGTAGCGGGGGATCGGAAATGTCAAGGGGAAGAGAACGTGCGAAGGCGGGAAACGTACACGGGGGAAAATTTCAACGGAGACAAAAATCATCGGGGAAAAAATTCCCCCCGAAACGGAACACCCCCCCTTACCCCCCCCCCCCCCCCCCCGCCCCCCACCAAAATCCGCGTCAGGGCAGGCCTCGACATTCATCCTGACGCTACAGGGAAGAACACTACGGCCATCCTGAAACTCCAGGGCATTTCACATAAAAACATCCTGTGACCTCAGGGTTAAAATTATGACTATTCTGAAATTGCAGGGTAAATACAGAAGTGCATCCTGAATTTAGGGTAATCAGGATGTTTTACCTTGATAACGTGGGCCCTGTAGCGATACCTTACCGCAAATGATTTCTATAATCTACACCGTGCAAACTATGTGCTGCATGGTTGCTGACAGCGTAGTACATGTACGGGAGCTAGCTCATAACGCGTTATCAAACGTGAACTGAGCGCAGATGACGAGTCGTAGGCAGAGCAATCACGGTCAATCACTCGGGCCCGCAATGGCTGCCATCACGGAGCTCACTAGGCTGACAGCCCCACAGGCTGCCGCAGAATTCGCTGACGATCAAATCAGAATCTGTCAATCTAGTCCAACCAACGCCGGTATCGCCGTTTGCGATGTTAGAATTATATATATTGTAGCATGCTAAGCACATGTGACTGTACACCAATTGTGGTGTACAGTTGGGTTGGGACTACACCCAACATTGGGTGTAGCCTTGCACTTTGGGGTGCCAATCCACCCAATTGTGGTGGAGCCCCCAAATTGCAACCCTCTTGACTTTTTGGGTACCTCACTTCACAATTGAGGCCACCACAAGCCAAGTGGGCCTAGGGTTGCCACACTTCTTAGAAGTGTGGGCAACCCAACCCACCCCACCTATGGTTACCTCACTTCCCAAAGTGAGGCCAACCCAACCATAGGTTGGGTTCCTCCTTCCCTTCCAAGCTTCTCTTCCCAAACTATGTATGCTAGGTTTGCTCTCTAATCAAATCACTTGTTCAATTCACATCTTTCACATGGTATCAGAGCTAGTTGTTCCTCAAACCTTAACTCTCCCTCCCTCAAGTTATTTTTCTATGGGCCCACCCCACAGCCACAATTTCCCTCCTACGCTTAGCTCAACCTAGCATACTCTAGCAAGCGCATCGCCGCCTCCTTCCCTAGCCGTCACGGCCATCCCGCCGCGCCGCCTCCTCCCTTCGCCGCCGCGGCCGATTCCTCCGCCGCCGCCTCCTCCCTTCGCCGCCGCGGCCGATTCCGCCGCCGCCGCCCCCCTCCCCTCTCCGTCGCGGCCGTTCCGTCGCCGCCGCCTCCTCCCATCGCCGTCGCGGCCACTTCCGCCGCCGCCGCCTCCTCCCTTCGCCGCCGCGGCCGATTCCGCCGCCACCGCCTCCTCCCGTTGCCGCCGCGGCCGATTTCGCCGCCGCCGCCTCCTCCCCTCGCCGCCGCGGCCGATTCCGCCGCCGCCGCCTCCCCCCTTCGCCGCCGCGGCTGATTCCGCCGCCGCCGCCTCCTCCCCTCTCCGTCGCGGCTGTTCCGTCGCCGCCTCCTCCTCCTCTCGCCGCCGCGGCCGATTCCGCCGCCGCCGCCTCCTCCCTTCGCCGCCGCGGCCGATTCCGCCGCCGCCGCCTCCTCCCGTTGCCGCCGCGGCCGATTTCGCCGCCGCCGCTTCCTCCCCTCGCCGCCGCGGCCGATTCCGCCGCCGCCGCCTCCCCCCTTCGCCGCCGCGGCTGATTCCGCCGCCGCCGCCTCCTCCTCTTGCCGTCGCGGCCGTTTCGCCGCCGCCGCCTCCTCCTCTCGCCCCCGCGGCCGTTTCCGCCGCCGCCGCCTCCTCCCCTCGTCGTCGCCTCTCTCACACCGTCGCCGCCTGCGCCTCCCGCCGCGGCGCTCACATCCTCCCCCTTCCCCTTCTCCCCTCCCCTCCGGCAGTAGCGGCAGCAGCAGCAGCGGCAGCAGCGGCAGCAGCGGCAGCAGCGGCAGCAGCGGCAGCAGCGGCAGCAGCGGCAGCAGCGGCAGCAGCGGCAGCAGCTGCAGCAGCGGCAGCAGCAGCAGCAGCGGCAGCAGCAACAGCAGCAGCAGCAGCAGCAGCAGCAGCCTAAACAGAGCTCCATCCTCCTGCAGCAGCACCGCCTCCCCCCCCCCCCCCCCCCCCCCCCTCCCTCTTGGCCGCCGCGGGTCCACCCGCCGTCGCCCTCCTCCTTGACCGCCGCGGGTCCACCCGCCGTCGTCCCCCTCGAGGCCGCCGCGGGTCCACCCGCCGTCGCCCCTCATGGATACCACTCCTCCCCCTCTTCCCCCTCCCATTGACGCCTCCTCCGTCGACAAGCTCCAACTTGCCGCGGACCGCTCGGCGATCAATTGGCACTCCTTCGTCGGGAGCATCCGCCGCGTTCTCCAGGACGCATTCGTCGGACCCTACTGCGTCCTCGACGTCCTCCTCCGCCGCCCGCAAGCTCTCCAGCCCACGGCACCCAGTCACCCCGGCGAACCCCCTCCACCCCCCATTCCCCCTGGCCCTCCTCCTTCTGAACCCACCTTGGAGATCGCCACTACCCCAGCGCTCCAGAGTGCCGCCGACGCCACATTCCTCCATGACCGCCGCGAGTACCTCATCCGCAAGGCAGAGCACGAGGTCGCAGTCCACCATCACGACTTCGCAGTAGCGGAACGCGCCAACCGCCTGGCCCTCCTCGATGAATACAACACGGCCATGGCAGACTACCTCCCCAAGAGTATTGCATGGGCCGCTGCTGACAACCGCGCCTGCACCATCCTCCTCGGCGCACTCCCTGATACCCTCATGCGCCGTTTCCAGGCTCGGGAGATGCGCGCCTCCCTCATCTGGGCCGAGCTCCAGGCAATGTTCGAGCGCCG